GGTTCAAATATACACCAAGGAAGGAAATCTGAAGACAACAATAAAAGTCCCAGAAGATCATGAGGTATACAGCGTCGCATTTCACTACGAAATTTGTAAAATATTGGTTTTAACCTTGGTTAGAGAAAAGGATTCCTATTTCATTCTGTGCTACCCTGTAGCAGGCGGGGAGCTGGAGACTCTTACCTTCTTTTTTAAAGATGAAAATTTGTTCCTTCAATTTACTCCCAGACTGGTATCCCATCCCAAGGGTCCTGTTGTTGTTGTGAAGGACAGAAGCATCATTTACCTTTAATGAAAATTAGTTTGAAGAAACATTTCCTGCATAAAACACAGTAAATACTTGTCTGAAATAGTGCAAACTTTGAGTTAACTAAAGCAAACAATAGATGCAGCATTGTTTATATAATTTGTGAGACTTTGCTGAATTACGTCCCATTAAAGTGTTCCTGTTTCTGTTGTAAGAGAGACAAGTGTAACTTATATTTAAATCATTTAATTAATAATGTTTTTTGACATTTGCCAACATGGACAATAAGCTTTTAATGACATTTAAAAGCGTATGAATCCTATTTCCTATGATATAATATAGTGAAAACTTCCTTTGCTCTTGTAATAAATGATCAGATTTTTAACATAATAAACTTATGAAACCACCCCTGGCTAAGCTTATAGCTATAAATCATATTATTAGTGGGTATATTGATGGCTTCTATCTGCAGGGTGATACATATGCTAAGTGTGCTACAAATGCTCTTGACACAGTTGAAACATTTGACTGCCTAGATCTAGTTATCCATCCTGATAAGTCCACTCCTTTCCCTTCTCAAGAGGTAATTATCCTAGGATTTGTCATTAACTTGATAACAATGACTATCCAAGTTACAAATGAGAAAAAAGGAAAAAATTAAAAAATTTTTGTTTGATGTTATTGAATGTTCAGTGTTTCAAGTTTATTTTCTTTGTAACATATACGTATATTTATATATTTATTCCCTAAACTCAGTCCAACAAATTACAACCTTTTCACTTCAAGTCTCTGTCCTTCATGCCCACTCATCAATCACAACCCTCCTAACAACTTATTAAATATTAACCCTATCATTAATAATATCAACCTTATTACATAATGTAACATCCAGAAGACATTCGTATCCATCAGGTAGCCAAGATTATTGGTTGCCTAGTCTCCTCCTTACCTGGGGTTCAGTATGGGGCTCTTCATTATAGGTACCTTGAAATGGATAAAAAAGATGCTCCTAAAAGAGTTAAGGGTAATTTTGATTCCTCTATGACGGTCTCTGAGGATGGCTTGATAGAGTTACGATGGTGGGTCACCCATCTTGAAGAGACTTTTAGATTTCTTTTCATTCCTCCTATTGATATAACTATATACTCTGATGCACTCCTAGAAAGATGGGGAGCTGTACTAGGTGATACATTTTCAGGGAGAAGATGGTCGCCAGCTGAATGCACCCATCACATAAACTACATTGAACTTTTGGCTGCATTTTTTGCCCTTAAACTGTTCTGCATCACTCATAAGTGTTGTAAGCATGTAAAACTCATGATAGATAACACCACAGCAGTAGCTGTAATAAATAACATAGATTCTTCAAACGTTAATTGTTCCTAGGATATATAATTGTAGTGCATCAGCACAATTAGGTAATGAAGTGTGACTAATGAGGATGCAAATTAGAATAAGTGTACAGGGTGTCTAAAAAAACGCAATTTAAGTAAATATGCGAGAACATTAATACAGCTCTAAAGCGCAATAGATAAGCACCTCTGGGAATTGAAAATGGCTCTTAATCCTTCATTTAAAACGCTAACAGTCATTTTAGCTGAACTATGGTGCAAACCCGAACAATATTAATATTCTTGCATATTTAAGTGGTTGCGTTTTTTTTGAGACACCCTGTATATTGACATTGATTACATGCAGTGTAGGTTTTAGTGAATGTTTTTGATCGCAAGAAGCGGCGGAAGGGCAGATTGAGAATCAGTCAGAACAAGTTGTGGACGAACGAAAACAACAAGTCGGTATTGTTATTGAAGACACGGGAATGAAGGTGAGAGAAATATGTTTGTTGTTTATAACCGAGCAGAAGGGAATTATAAAGACCCAGTAAGTAATGCAACAGCAGTTCATTGAGGAGATAAGAGATTGGCAGCGAACACAAACAGAATTATTAAACGAATTAAAAAAGAAATTCGCGAATGAAGTTTTAACAATTAATCGTCGGTTAAGTGATTTTGAAGCGGGTATTTACTGAAGATTTGACAAATTGAGACGAGAAATCATCGAAGAAGGGAAAGTTAAAGACGAAAAAGCTTTAGATATGTACTCAAGTCTTCTGGCGTCGACGATCGAGGATATGAAACAAGAAATTAAAGCGGAATTTAGCCAAGAGATTAGCAAAGACATTGATGATAAACTTTCTTGCAAAACTCAACTCCGACCTGCAATCCCTTTCCTGTTATCTTAACAACAACCTCCTTACACTCAATTATGAAAAGACAAAGTTCATCATTTTTGCTGGTACTCGACGCCTACGATCCATATCTGAAATAAACATCTCTATTGGCAATCGTACTATAAAACAAGATGAATCGTTGAAATACCTGGGAATCACGATCACCGAAAACCTTACCTGGCATAAACATATTGAGAACCTAATGGGGAAAATTAACCAAAGATTGGGATTGCTGCGCCGTGTGAAATATTTCTTACCGCTGGATGCAAGACAAATTTTCTATACCTCGGCAATTTTACCACTATTCGACTATGCTGATATAATATGGGGCGATAAAAACAATTCTGAGCTTATGAATTCCCTACAAACCCTGGAAAATAAAGCAGCTAAATTGATTCTAGACCCCCTCCTCTTTCGTCAGCAACAGAAGCACTCGCTACATTACACTGGTCAACACTCTCTTCTCGCAGATATAAACATCGATGTATCTTCATATACAAATGCACCAATGGACTGATCGATTTCGGCTTCAACTTAAGAACCAACAGAAGCGTCCATTCCCACAACACATGGTCGTGTAACAACCTTCATCTTCCGAAAGTCAACACTAACTGGGGTAAACATAAACCTACATACCAAGCTTCTAAAGAATTCAACAACTTGAACGATTCCATCAGAAACTCTATCTCTCTGAGTCATTTTAAGTCGTCCCTGAAGTGACATTCACTGACACACTATATATAAATATTGTTAATTGCATGTCTCAATATGTTTTTTGTTTGTCTATGTCCATGTCCACGTCGTTGTCCTTGTCCTTTTTAATGTATGTGTATGTCTATGTCTATGATTATTAGAAAACGTAGAACACTTATTCATATGTTGTTATGTGGTATTTTAAAATTGTATATATGATAGAAGTTACGTTTAAATTATTATATTAGTAATATGATTGTATCATGCAGGACCCCACTGAAAAACACTATAAGGTGATGTGGGTATCCTGGTTAAATATAATAATAATACAAAGTGACTCAACACCTCAAGTAATCGGGCGCGTGCGAGTAAAACCGGTTGACAAAGCTTTTGGAGAAATACCAAAGTTATCAAAAACAAGAAAATCGGGCGAGTACAGTTCGAAGAGCGATACATCAATATTGCACGAAGTACATAAACCAACGCAGAGACCAACATGCAACATTTAATTATGATGGCAAAACGTCCTGGGATGCATATAGAACACAATTTGAAATTGTCGCAGAAATATAAATGGCTTGGACGATCGGGAAAAGGCAGCTTTTCTTTCAACCAGTTTGCAGGGGCAAGCAGTAAACGTCTTAAATTGTCTGTCAGATTCAAGTAAGCGTGACTACAAAACTCTGTTGCAAGCATTAGATCGCCGTTACGGGACCTTGTGTCAGTCTGAATTAAATCGAGCTACTTTACGAAATCGTTTACGACGTCGCGACGAAAGCCTCCCAGAATTGGCGGGAGACATTAAAAGATTGCTTCGACTTGCATATCCTAATGGCACGTCAGAAATGCTTGAAGCCTTGGCTGAGGATCATTTTGTGGATGCGGTGTACGACGACGAGATTCGCTTACGAATTGCGCAGAGCAGACCACTATGAAACTACACTGCGACAGGCCTTGGAAATTGCCTTGGAGTTAGAGTCGTTCGCACTGGCCAGCAAACAACGGTCGTGGTATGTGCGCGAGATCCGAATTGAAGAACCCCGAGACCAAACTCGATAACCAAAACCACTCCGTGGAAGAGTATGATGGATCAACTAAATGAATTGACAAAAGAAATGAGAAATTTCACCGGCAAAATGGGCAGACAGCTAGACATGAATACAAGGTTTAACAGATCAACTTCACCTCCGCGAAAATGCTGAACGTGTCGTGGGAATCACTTGCAGAAGGAATGCCCTGATTACCACCGATCAAGAATGAATCAACCCATTAATGAAAACGAAGAGAAAAACTGGGAACAGAGAAATCGACCACTTGAAGGAAATGTCGAAAATCGTCGCCAAGAATTGCGGAATGGTCGCAGAAGTGCGTCAACAGAGCGTAATACGCGAATTCAGGGAAACGGAGGGTAGCTGGGTGGGCAAGGGGTCTGGATCCAGCTAATAAACACGCGAAAGAAACGTGCGAAATCCTGCTCATAAACAACGATAGCGGACAACAAAGTAGTGACTTTGGTGCAAAAGAAAGCGAGAGAGAAAGTCAATTGAACGACCGCGACAATCTAGTTGCACGAATATGTGATTCTGGAAAGACAGATTTCAAACAAATTAGTAAGGAGGCTTACTAATTTAGTAAGGCTCCCATTAAGACCTATTATATATTTAGTTGGAACACCAATAGAAAGAATCTGTGTAGACATCTACCGAAATCAGAAAATGGAAACAAATATCTGCTGGTATGCATGGACTACTTTACCAAATGACTCGAGGGTATCCGATTACTGCATTCGTTTATTCATTCATTTGTTCAACTGCATAATTTGTCAAGTCAGGAATGGTTAAGATTCATCCTCTGCTAATGATGTGAATTATTGCAAGTGCGTGTGAAGAGATAAACAATTGTGATATCAACAGCTCGTGTAACTCAGGTATATTTACTGCATTCGTTTATTCATTCATTCGTTCGTTCATTTGAGCCGAGCTCAAACTCTTGGCTGAGTTAACAACCTCAAGAGACAGTCGAAACTCTCTGCAGAAAAAAACTTCACAAACTACACACACTTAAATTTTGTTAGATTACATCTGATGCCTGTCTGTCGACATGCTGGATTTTGATTTTGAAGAGCGAATGTTTTATTGTAATAATTTTATCCATGTTATGGTATAACACGAGTTTACTCGCAAGGTTTTGATAATCAATTATTCTGGTGAGAGCTAACTCAACCGATGATGTACAACTCTTTCATTCCTTGTAGATAACTGTGATTTTACGCGTGGTAAATATTGTCATTGGGTCCGTGATAAAAACCAGCGCTGCTATTGACAAACAAAGAGAAGATTGAGACAATCCAGGAACACTGGACGCAGTCGAGACCAGACTAAAGACTCAGGTATGAAATAAGAGTGATCTCATGACCACCATCATTATTATGAATAATCATTACCTCATTACTCTACATCGCTTCCATCAATGTCCATGATTGCCAATTATTATCCATCGATGCACAAGATTATCATCTTCAATTATACGTAACAATTCATCGTTATCCATGAAAATGTACCAGATCTGGTCACACTGACTTCAATATTTACAGGTTCCACAGTTTCCTTCCTCAACGACGACCAACGCAAATCCGTAACACTGGAAGCAATCAAGACCACACAACTGACACTGGTAAGAAATAGAAGTGATTCATCATCACCATTTCTCATCATCACCACCGTGCAATAACACGGGGTATCTTTACCCCATCTATCTATATCGTTGTCCATCATTGTCCATCGGCATCCACAATCATCTATTGTTATCCACCAGGCACATAATCATTGTCGTTTACTTTAATTATACAGTATACGATAGAAATCATTCATTTTTTCCCAAGAAGCAAACGTCTTGCAATTGCGTGGTAATAAGCTTTGACAAATCTTATTGTTATGCGAGTTGCAGGCGGAAGGGAAGGAATCGGGCAGGTGCGGGTTATCAGCTTGTTGCGCAAACTTTCCTGTTAAACTTCAATTGTGCTTTAGTTACCGTGAATGAAACCTATTTCTATCAGTCTTTGTCATTGATCGCGTAGCGACAGCGATCTATAGTTTCGGCTTGGTTTTTTTTTTTTTTTTTTTTTATTTTCCTCTCGGGTCGACCCCCAGCGTCGCTAGCTGCGGGCAATATCACCCTAATCGGGAACCTGCGCACAGGTAAGTTGCTAGTTATATCACGTGTTGTATTCACTTTGGGCATATTTCGTTTCACCTTCGAACTTCGAAGCAGTAAAGTAGAATCAATAAAGCGATCAAAATGCTAGCAAGTGTTATCTTTATCTTTACACTCATTACACATACAACTAACTGCACACGCCGAGCAGAGTAAGCCTGCACTAAAGGATTTCAAGCAGTTTCGAAATGGGCTGTTTTGTGTTTCTCCTGCTTTCAACATGCGACTATAGTTCGGTATATTGTTCATTTTTATTATTAAGAACATTTACGACACAAAATTTGCATAGCTGGGCTGGCTACGCCGCTGTGAACGACGCGATCATATAACGCCTAGTAGGCGTCTTGTTAAATCTAAATTACATTTAAACTACTATAGATCAACACCGCGGAAAAACGTCTGCGCACGCGTCAACTCTGCCTGTAAGTGAGATTAAAAATAATTAAAAAGCGGTTCCGAACGTTTCCGAAGGCTAAAAATGGCGGTAAAAAGGAGTGATTTCATTCGTGTCTTCAAATCCATATTTCGAGGGCATAAATAAACACTGCATTATAGAAACTAAGAGAAAAAAACGTCCAGAGAGTCCTAGAAGTGGCATCCTACAAAAACACCTGTAAAAGGTGACTGTTAACAAATTTTTCGTCTCAAACATTTTGTTTATAAAATAAGCAACGACAGTTTCCGAACTTTTAATTGAGACACGTTTTATTAAAAAAAAATATGTCGCCAGATACGAGACGTTTGCGTGTTCTCAATGATTGAAAATTAAGATGTATTTTACAATTTAAATACATTAGAAAGCTTAACTTTCCGCGGGTTTTCTTAACTTTTAGGTTTAAACATTTGTTTTCGAAAAATATTCTAAAGCCACCCCGTAAAAAAAGGAAAATTTACCGTGAATTCCAGTTCGTTCGATACTCTAAATGCTAGAAGGCTTTTAATTTATGTTCTGTCTGGCCGTCTTGTATATTTTTGCCTTTTCTTAACTTATATTTTATCAAATAATGGGCATGTTTTGTTCCAAAAGTTGAGATTTAGATTTACCATCATATTTTGATATTTCAGCGCGTGCGCAGACGTTTTTCCGCGGTGTTCTATAGATCATAGACCAATTGCGAAACTTAGTAACCGCGCCTTCGCTCAACATGGAAACGAGGCTTATTATGCAAAAAACAATATTTGTATTTTTTGCAGTACAAAGCTATTCGCCGAGTTATATGCCGTTTTTCGCCTTTGTTTTACATATTTTTCGATTCCTTTCAGCTTGGTTTCATCGTTGTTATCATAGTTTTCAGGTCAGGAAGTTTTGCCTTTCAATTGAGGCGCTTTTGGGGTGTTTTCATTAATCTTTTCGGCTGCTTTCGTCGGGGAAATATAGAAAAGGCCGACACAAACTCAGGTAAAAGTTTAGTTTTTCAAAACTATTTCGTCTCAAGTTTTGAAAATGTATTTCATTTTTCTCCCTCTTATTTGTGCAAAATTTGGCGATGTATATTTGGTGCAAAATCTATGTTTTTTATGTCAAAAATTATTGAAAAGTCACGATCGAACAAACCACCATGTTCACATTTCTCATCTAAAATTTTTTTTATACCAATTTTATCGATCGATAAGATGTAATTTGACAGCAATTTTACAGCTCAGCAAAAAAATAGTAGAAATCTGTTGACAGAAACTATAAGAAATAAAATAAGCAACGGAGTTTTATGTTTATATTTTCCCTGTGTATATAGACTACAGTACATGTGATGTGATGCCGACTGAAAAGCAAAACAACTCTTCAACTTGGCACACATGCATGACATGGATAGTAAAATACTTATAACCAAGACATAATATCATTGTCTATTTTGAATTGCCATTTGAATATTCATTTTCCCGCAATAACATACTATAAAGGTAGCCACAATGCGAGCTGCAGCGTTTTTTAAGATACACCTTTACATGATGGCAAAGCTGAAAGCGAAAAATATTTAAACTGGAGTTCGCAAGTGTTTTTCCGTTTACGATGGTGAACGGAATCCTTTCCTTTTCAAGTATTCCTGGTTCACCCTTATTAAACATCTATTGCATGGTAGTAGATAGAAAGAATAGTGTTTTGTACTAACAAAAATGCAGAACTCAGATGCAAACTCAGATGCATTCGAATTCGACTTTTATAAAATTCGGCCTTCAGGCCGGCATGCAAGCTATGCATCGTCTGTAGTTTATTAAAATGAAAATAAACAAAAACATTCAGTCAGTTACTTTTGACCATTTTAACGGTATTACTGTGGTATAAAGACTGAAAAAAATACAGTGATATTTGTGAATAAATTTGAATAAATGAAGCCATTTCAGTCATCAGGTTTGAAAATTATATAATCTGACTGTCACTTTTCCATAATTTTTGACAAAAAAAACATAGATTTTGCACCAAATATACATCGCCAAATTTTGCACAAATAAGAGGGAGAAAAATGAAATACATTTTCAAAACTTGAGACGAAATAGTTTGGAAAAACTAAATTTTTACCTGAGTTTGTGTCGGCCTTTTCCATACTCCCCCGACGAAAGCAGCCGAAAAGATTAATGAAAACACCACAAAAACGCCTCAATTGAAAGGCAAAACTTCCTAACCTGAAAACTATGATAACAACGATGAAACCAAGCTGAAAGGAATCGAAAAATATGTAAAACAAAGGCGAAAAACGGCATATAACTCGGCGGATAGCTTTGTACTGCAAAAAATACAAATATTGTTTTTTGCATAATAAGCCTCGTTTCCATATTGCACGAAGGCGCGGTTACTAAGTTTCGCAATTGGTCTATATTCTGCTATTATTCATTCACGGACATGCGCAACAAGCTCTCCTAGCACATTTATTTATGCTTTTCCTTTCTTGATTTATCGCCCAGGTTTGATTTTAGAAATAATTGCAATGATTTCTATCGTATTTCTTCAATCTTTAGTTTTGTTTAATAGTTCAGCGATAAATAAAGACTATCGTACAGCGTTAAGGTGCATATAACCGATCATACTTTCTGCCCTCCCAAGTGCATTTTAAGAGTTTAAGTTGGCCTACGTCAGGTTAAACAAAGAAATTTCAGAGAGAAAAAACGCGTACTGGCGAGAGAAGCGATTTCGGTTTGTTAGTCGGAATTTCTTGCAAGATTTTTTCACAAATACTGTTGTTTGTTTCATGAGTAATTTAAGAATTCGGTAATGTAAGGTCAAGTATCTATATATTGTTAACTTTTATATGCCTAATTTATGTACTTTTGTAAATACCTATAGCCCTAACTTAGTTCTGTTGAAACTTTGTTTTGTTCAACTACGAACACGCAATGATTTCATCTCGCTCGTGTCTATAACTTTTCCTATAAAACTTGGCTCGTGCAGTGACATAAGACTAAAGTGAAATACAGCTGGAATATTTATATACGAGATCGCTCCCAGATATATTGTAGACGATGTAAACAAGGTAATTCTATACTGTAAACTTGAACAACCTTCATATCTCGCCTGTTTCTCATGTGATGAAGTTCCCGGAAGAACGTAGATAAAAACGTCGTTAGGAATCATATGATTGAATATGTGTTTGAGCATATTCACCAGTGTTTAGTCAAAATTTAGCCTTAATTTTTGGCTTCAGTAAAAAAACTCGGTATGTCTTCAATTGTGACAAGTATTCTCAGTTCAACAGTTGGTTTATTATGGAATAAGGTCAGAGACTCGGCGTCAGACAAACTCAAAGACGGAGATGTAACCGATGCAGAAATTCGAAAGATTGTCGTACGAGAGTTAAATGATATCAAGTCTAAAATCGATGGCCTTTCCCGATCAACTTTACTCGCCAGTTACGATTTTCTAGAGGAAGGAGTAGAGTTACTCAGTGTTTCTCTTGATAAATCAAATGCCGAGCAGAAAGCGAGCGAAACTCAGGACGAACCAGGTGAACCTTCGAGCGTTATTCAGTCTGGTATCTTAAACCAAGCAATAGAGCTTCCTCGCGCCATGGAAAAGCTTAAAATCAACTCAGACAGAGAGTTTGAAACTGCGAGAAAAAGATTCGAGGAAGCGCGCAAGACAGCAACCACTGCTTTCAGGAATGAGGCATTTAGTATCGAAGATCGA